TTCTTCATTAATAATGTTGATTCTTGAAAATGCTTTTTTTCTTTTTTTGCAAGGGCAGTGAAAATGCTTTTAAAATATAAGGGCTTCCTGGGTTTTCTGATTATATTTTGCAAAAATTATATAGAATGAGAGCCATCATGTAGGGACTTCATCTAATCATATTATTTAGCATCATTCCTAAGCCTGAAATGAATTAATGCCTAAAGGAAATTAAACCATAGGCAAATGAGAATTTTTAGAGTTAACAATATAATTTATTCCCCCTGGCATAGCACAAAGGCAAAATAAATATTGCATTTAGATTGTTGAATGGCAACAATGTGTGAAAAAGGCAAATGAAAGACAATAAAATTTATTTTTATCCATTTTTATAATATCTGTACATAATATTTTTAAACCAGGCTTCTTATATACAGGTATACTTCTAGAATTTTTCTACACATAGATATATACAAATACTTTTTATTAAAATAGGATCATACTACAGAGACAGTTAAGGAGCCCACTTTCTTTTTACTTAGCAACATTATGAACTTTCCCCGTGCCATCAACTATTATACTAGGCCATGTTTAATGGTTGTATGTGTCCTTTTCGAAAAGTGCCTTCAGAAAATACAAATTTTTACTTTTAACTTGAGGGTAAGAGCTATAGAATTGTGGTTTTTAATCATTTACTTTTATAAGACTGTGTGTTAGACTAGGCATCTATTTTGTAAGAATTTTTTTCTTTACTTTTGCTACTATATATAAAGTGTAGCTGAGGTAGAAAAATAAAGGTTTCTTGTGAAAGATTTCTCTATTCTAGGCTGGAGAAGAGTTGTGCTTGTGATTTGAGTTTGGGTCCATATGCAAACAAAACATAGTGTATAATATTTACTTGGTTCCTTAAAGGTCTTTTCTAAGGCAAATTTTAAACTCTTTAATGAAAGGCAATACATAATAATTCATTTGTTTAACAGCCAAAGTAGGGTATACGTGACTAACAGGTAGATTCATCAGTGGTGAGACTTGAGTTATTAATTTGGCCTTTATTTAATATATGTAATATGTAATATATAATTTTAAAGGCCAAATATATATAATTATATAAAAACTATATTAATAAAAATTATATGATTATGTATGTACACACATATATAAAACATTGTTGAATAGTGTAAAAGGGAACTATTGCATACTACTTGTGTTTTTTCAAATAAAACACTCTACAACTAGAACTGTCCTAAAACAACATGAAAGAGCTTTTTTCTCTTATTTCATCTAAGATAATATACTGATTCTTAGCTGAATGTGCTCTTTTGTTGTTTCTCTTAGGAAGTCATTACAAATTTAAAATGCATTCAAATAAAAAGCTCTGATTACAAATTGTTGTGCTTACTGTGTTATAGATGATCGTTGTGTGAGTCCCTGTAACTCCCAGAGCTGCATATTAGCCCAGGCAGAACAACAGTATCTACAGAGTGGAGACCAGCAACTAACTCGACATGTATTGCTGTGTTTACTTCTCATTATTGGCCTGTTTGCTGTAAGTATTTCTGGTTTCATTTTGTGGCCACTTCTTTAACTGTTTGGCAAAGGTTTCAATTCAGTCATCAGGGAGAAACTTAGTGCTGCTTTCCGGGAGTGTGGCAGCTAGGTCATCTCAATCCTAATCTTGAGCTAAATGTTTGTGGGTTGGGGTGGGAGAAAAGAATGAATTATTCACATTACTCTGTTGCCTAAGTGCTCCAATAGCTTATTCTGCTTAGAATCACTTATTCATTCTAGCTCTGAACCTAGAATTTGGTAAAGACAGATTATCTCGATGATGTGTACAGGGCCATTTATTCCTAATGTACTTGACTGACCAAAGTGGATAAATGCATACAGTATCTCTCAGAAGACATTCCTTAGTTAAATAAAATTTTAAAATAATTTTTAATTATGAAAAGAATATAAGTACTTCATACAATAGATACAAAATAGAGAAAAGAAAAATATCCATCATACTACTGCCTTCTAATTTTTTAATACATTTTTCACAGTTCTATCTGTTCACACGTACAGATTTATATCCTGCTTTTGTCACTTGTCAAGCAAGTTGCTACATAGTGTTCATAACCATTACTTTAATTTGAAAATTTTATAAGTGAAATACAGAACCTTATTTTTTAAATGCATGCATTTCTTTGATTACTAAATGTCCTCTTTTGTGAATTATCATTTATTATTTTATAATTCTTTGAGATGATTCAAGTGTAACTTGCCCAGAGGTAAGAGATGGAGCATATAACCTATGAAGGAAACCTTTCACGTTGGGATGCTTGTTACATAGTATATCAGCCAGCATCACTTTAAATGCTGTTTAAGAACAAAAATCAAAAAAATAAGAAATGCTGCCAAAAATTGCTGCTTAGTGATGTAATTGTTTTCATTGTGTAGAACTAATTTTAAAATTGGCCCTGTCTCAGGCTAGTCGGCAGTCCTGATATATTATGTAAGCTTCTGTATTATGGCTCATGTCTTCTTGCTTCAAATCTGATCAGAATAGATGCTGTTTGAATGACATCTGTCAGGAGAAGAGGTTGAAACCTCTTGTTGGAAAGACAAAGCCTCTATATTCTCTAGGTGTTTTTCCCTTTAGTTTTTCCCCCCCTAATTATTAAGTAGATAAGTAATTGTACTGTGCTCTGGATGGAGAGAAATAATCAGCTTGCTTCATTTTAAAGTACTCTTCTCTTCTTCCTTTACAGAATCTTTCCAGTTGTTTATGGTGGCTATTCAACCGAGAGCCTGGAAGACTGTATGTTGAGTTACAGTTTTTCTGTGCCGTGTTTAACTTTGGCCAGGTATTTATTTACTGAGAACTTTGAGTGGTTTTTGTTTTCCTGGATGGGTTGATTGGTGGTGGGGGTGGGGGCTGGTACGGATGTCGTTTTCTTTTAAATCAAAAGGGTTTAGTTTGTTTGCCAGCTGCTGGTGTGCATGACAGCTGACAGCTGCTGTCTGTCTCCTAGTAGAGATGAATTATTACTTTGGTTAAAGTCATCAGAATATACACTGTGTTTCAATCAGAAATATCACATAGTTCTTTGCTTTGGTTCTGAGCTAAAGAATGATAATTTAAGCAGGGACAAGATGTCCTAAGTCCTTTTTCAACTTTGTTTTGATCTTAGTAAGTTACTTTGAGGAAACAACTTACTTTCCCTGAGCCTTTAATTTAGCTGCTTAAATTGATAAACATCATGTTATTTGCATTTCGATGTTTCTTGAACTATAGGTATGTAAACCTTTAAAAAAAAACCATGTGGTGTAAAAATAAATTTTGGCTAGGTGTAGCAGTTACCATTCCTTGAGCATCTACTATGTGCCAACCATTGTTAAGAATTACATTCGTTATTTCATTTAAACATCACGACAATACCTGCAAAGTGAAATTAAAAAACTAAAATTCCAGCTGGGCGCAGTGGCTCACGCCTGTAATGCTAGCACTCTGGAAGCCTGAGGCAGGAGGATCGATTGCTTGAGGTCAGGAGTTCAAGATGAGCCTGAGCAAGAGTGAGACCTGTCTCTACCAAAAATAGAAAAAATTAGCCAGCAGTGGTAGTGCACGTGTGGTCCCAACTACTCTGGAGGCTTAGGCAGGAGGACTGATTGAGCCCAGGAGTTTGAGGTTGCTGTGAGCTGTAATGATGCCACTGTACTCTACCTGGAGAGACAGAGTGAGACTGTCTCAAAAACCAAACCAAACCAAACAAACAAAAACAATTCCTTGAGGAAGTAATATGATGTGTGCTATTGTCTAAGTTTATGTCACTATTAAAATGGATATTTAAGGATAAATGACATTTTATATATTGGGAATATATTTTTATGTGCAAATTTCAAAATTTGATCTTTTCTTTGACTCCTTACTTTTTAATTAGAGAATATTGGTCCACAGATTGAGTAACAGGTCAAAAAAATACCATGTTTGAAATCACTGAGTTTACCTATTAAATCTAAAATAATTTGTCATATAAGTTAACATTTGTCAATAGATGCTCCTGCAAGTTTTTTCCTAACATTAATTTCTTGAAATAGTTCCAGTTTTTTGGGGCCATTATTGTGAGAGCAAAAATGGCTATGTCTAAAGAGACAAGTGACCTTAGTTTATTACAGACATGAGCATCCCAATAGCTACTTTGATACTCATCTCACTTCGTGATACTGTTTAAGATCTGATTTTTTTATCTAAGAACTAAAAAACACTATGTTGAAAAATCATAGCCTCACTTGGCATTTTGCATTCAGAAACCCTACTCCAATCTGAGCCACCCCAGAACTGGGACTGAGAAAGCTTCATTCCACAGGGCTATGTCATAAACACTAGCCAGGAATGTTGCATTTAAAATTCTGCCCACACAACTTATGGCTGAAGTGGTTCAAAGGAGCAAAAGAGACACAAACCCCACTCCCATCCCATTTTCCTCTTGGGGAGGTGTTGTGGTAAGATCATTCCTTTCTAGTTGTTTATAGTCTTGGGGTGAAGAAAGCTAGGTCCTTCCTACAACATACTGCATTTTCCATCCTACCTCCACCAACTTGCGCTCAGATCCTTATCCTAATGTGCCTGACAAATGGCCACTGCCAACCTCCTGCCTCCCCAAACAGTCCTAAATTGTCCTGATTTGTGTGACTGATATCTGGTGCCAGTTTGCCTCATCACCCTCAAATCCTTCAAACTCTTCCCCTAACCACTAGCCACTTTCACTTTACATAAACTCTGTTCAGTTACTGCATTATAATTAGATACTGAAGCACTTGTTACATAATTTATGAAGTTTTAACAGAAAAATAATAAATACTTAAGCACAGTAGGGGGAGAAATAAAGACATATAGCCTTTAAATGTTTTCATTTTTCTTTAGGAAGCTGTCATGTGGTTGCAAATGTGGTTGCTCAGCACTGGTTTGTATCACCCATCATCATTAGTAGGACAGAATGATTGGGAAAAGGCAGCAAAGTGTCACATCTGCCCCCAGGCACTGCACTTCAGAGGCCTGCTTTGTGTGTTCTTCATCACTATAGGTTTGCTCCCTCAAACACTACATTTGGTGGCTTCCTTAATTTCTCTATCTTAAAATTTTATTGTTGAATTCAGAAAAAATAACTTTGTTTTCTTCCCTAGGGATTTATTTCCTTTGGAATCTTTGGATTAGATAAGCATTTAATCATCCTGCCTTTCAAAAGAAGGTAAATTTAGTTTTGAAATAAATCTGTATCTGTAAAGGTGATGAAAAAGCCATTCTATTAAAATACTAATATTTCTAAACCTTTAGTAACTGCTAGGAGACCGCTAAATGCCACACAGAGGTTATCTGTTGATTCACATATTTGTTGTAAATAACTGCAGAAAAATATTAGAAGAACTATTATAAATCCAGCATTGTAATTTGCATTTAAACAAGAATTGATGGACATACTGACTTCTGTCTATGCCATTAACTACATAAAGTTAAATGAAACTTGAAAATGTCTCTAGAAATGGAAGTAGTAGGTGGTGCCCCCAAAGGTCTATATTTGATTGTCTTTCTCCTTTGAAACACGATTCCTCTTTATATCAAACTGGTAATTTATAGAAAACTCAAGTTTTCTTTCTAAATTTTTGGGTTTTTATTAGCTTAGTGAAGTGTTTCTTTGAATGAAGATCAAGGATTTCTCTATGAAAAATAACAAGTGGGAATACTCCAACTTGAGGGTAGAAGGAGAAAGCAGGGGGGCAAATCCTTGTACCTCCTCATTTGTTTTCAAAGTCAAAATTAGTAGAAACTAGAAGTGCTAATGAAATTTATCCTGCCAGCTCTGTGAAAAGCAGCCAGTAAATGGTAACTATTCTTACTTCTCCTTCTTCTCTATAATCATCATCAAGATACAGTTGCTAGGATCATAATCATTTCCTGAATGAGGAAAAACATAACAAGAAAGTCATTGAACTAAGTTATCAGCTTCACAATGTTGATCAGGTGAAATAGTCAACAGTTCTATCGCCTGGGCTGGCAGAAACAAAATTGTTCGGTACTTCAGACCCTGGTATTTGTCTCTGTGGTACTGAAAAAGAAAAAGGATTAAATACTTGATCTCTAATTTATCTTTGCATTTCAAAACAGTGGGATGTAGAATAAGGAACATTTATTGGTAGAAACTGAAATGGGTCAAACATGTCTGGAGGGTGTAAATGATTAGGTTCCCCACCCCAGCCTTCTTTCAATAGGAAACTGAATGCAGAATATGTTTCTGCTTCAGAGACTAATGATGTCCAGGAATTGAAGATGACAGCTCTGGTGAATGACGGCGTTGGAACAGCCATTTGGTGGGGTGCTAAGGCAGGAGGGGCTCTCTCTCAGTGCTTTCTTTTCTTAAAAATGGCCTCCTTAAATTTTGGTTTTTAGACTTGAGTTCCTATGGAACAATAAAGAAACAGCAGAAAAAAGGGATTCTCCTGTTTCTGAGGAAATAAAAATGACCTGTCAACAGTTTGTGCATTATCACCGTGACCTCTGTATCCAAAACATTGTCAAGGAAAGAAGGTAAGCAAATTGCCAGTACAGGTTTCAGATAATTATGTTTTAGATGATTAATTTTGGATTGTAATAGGCTAAATAATGTGGCTGTGACTGACTACATGATTATTTTCAGTAACACACATGTAAAAGTTAAAAGTTATGGGTCAGTTTATAGTTTAAAAATGATATATGAAAGGGCCATCTCACTTTGACATTAACATTTTTTAAATGTCACATAACTTCTGATTTCCACATAAAATGTGAAAACTTAATTTAGAATGAACCAAAATGTCATAGAATATTAACATTCATTTCCAGTTGGCCATTAGTGTCTCTCATAAAACTTTGAGATACATTAGATTTAGAAGGGATGTTATATTCCCATCTCCTGGTGGTATGTTATTTCATATTAGTAATACTGTTGTAAGAAAATGAAACTTCTGCCTCTTAATTTTGCTGCTTATATTTCACCTCAAGCCCTAATCTTTGGTCTGTGACATGATATTTATTCTTCTCATCCCCAAGGTAGGAAGTATGCAGCAGGAAATGATGAATTTTGAATAAACAAATGTTACAGTGCACATATTTTTGGTAGTCATAAAGAGAAAATAAAAGAAAACAAAACATAAAGAACCTAATATTTTTATGTCTATAATTGAAAATTTAAAATTTTATGAAAATCACTATTGAAGATGATTTATTTTCATAGATTATGCCACTGTATTCAACAAGTATTAATATGTCATTATAATCAGAAAGCAGCCTGGAATTGACAGTGGAGGGGGACTCATTGAGTGAGGACTAATACTAGAACTTAAATCCTGAACTACACTTACTAGCTTTGTGTCCCTGGGCAAGTTGATTCTGTGAACTTTAGTTTTCCTCTTCTTTAAAATATCTGACTCTCAGGGTTGTTTGAATTAGATGACAGAATGTCTGTGATTGGCCTAGCCCACTGTCTGGCAATGGTAAACTATGAAGAAAAGTTAGTTTTTCCACCCTTAAAGGGCTGAGCACAATTATTTCAAAGTACCATGTATAGTTTCAACAATTTGAAACTGCTTTTTAAAATTAAAAATTACAGGCTTATGCCTATAGTCCTAGCACTTTGGGAGGCCCAGATGGGAGGACCGCTTGAGGCCAGGAGTTTGAGACCAACCTGAGCAACAATGCAAGACCCCATCTCTACAAAAAATAGAAAAATTAGCTGGGTGTTGTGGCACACATCCGTATTCCTAGTTACTTGGGTGGCCGAGGCAGGAGGATCACTTGAGCCCAGGAGTTGGAGGTTGCAGTGAGTTTATGATGATGCCACTGCACTCTATC